AGAGTTTGGGGTGGAGAGAAGGACCACGTCCCACTGTGGAGGGGCTGGAACATCCCTCTTGGGGTTGAGCCTTAGGCTGAACCTTCTCTCCCCCATGGCAGGAATTGGCCAAGTTTCAGGAGCTGATCTTTGAGGACTTTGCCAGATTCATCCTGGTGGAGAATACCTATGAGGAGGTGGTGCTGCAGTCAGTGATGAAAGATATCATGCAAGGTAGGGTCCTGAGGCACCTGTGTGAGGGGGGTGGACCTCATCCAGGATGCTGAGGACTGTATGAGGAGGGGGTGATCCAGTGCAGGATGCTGTGGGCTGTATGAGGAAGGGGAGACCCCAAACAGGGTGCTGGGGGCTGTATGAGGAGGGGGTGATCCAGTGCAGGATGCTGTGGGCTGTATGAGGAAGGGGAGACCCCAAACAGGGTGCTGGGGGCTGTATGAGGAGGGGGTGACCTTGTAGAGGGTGCTAGGGCAGTGTGAGGAGGGTGTAACCCCACTCAGTGCTGGGGGCTGCCCCAGGAGCAGCTTTCCCACATGGCTCTCCTTCTAACCAGTGGGAGGGATTCAGAACTCTCTTCCCAGCTCCACACAGACCTCCCTGCCCCCCATGGGGAGGACTGGGCAAGGTGCCCAAGCCTGGCAGGTGCTTCCCCATCTCTCAGCCCCTCTGACACCCTCTCTTGTCCCCAGCTGTGAAGGAAGCAGCCGTGCAGCGCAAGCACAACCTGTACCGTGACAGCATGGTCATGCACAACAGTGACCCCAACCTGCACCTCCTGGGTGAGGGTATCCCCATCGACTGGGGCGAGGAGTACAGCACACAGCCCGAGGCTGAGCCCGCGGCCGACAAGCGCCGCAGGGCCAAGCAGGTGGTGTCAGTGATCCAAGATGATGAGGGGGTGCTGCCCTACGAAGTGGGAGCCGAGGCACTGCTGCAGCCCAGCTCCCCAGAGCCACAGAAGCTGGAGGAGATGCACCCTGGGGTACCCCCGAGCTCTCCAGGTGGGGTGAAGGAGATCCGGGAGGCGCTGGCACAGGAGAGCCTCGGGGATGGCGTCGGGGCGGAGGAGCCGCTGACAAATGGTACTGATGCCACACGGGAGAGTGGTGCCAGAGAGGAGGTGGTGGTGGTGACAGGGTCTGTCCAAGGGGATGTCACCCCTCAAGGTCCAGCCAGTGAAGGGGACAGGGTGCACCACACCACACCGTCATCACCAGCTGAGATCCCATCTGGGCCTGGGATGAGACGTGCTGCCCCACCACCACCTGTGCCTGGAGCCGAGGTCCCGTCAGGGGCTGGGGGGCAATGTACCACACCAGCATCACCTGTCCCTGGAGCTGAGATCCCATCAGGGACTGGGAGACAACGTGCTGCACCAGCATCACCCGAGGGCTGGGGAAAATCATGCCACACCAGCATCACCTGTGTTGGCATCACCTGTGCCTGGAGCTGATGATCCATCAGGGGCTGAGGTGCCACATGCCACACCAAGATCATCCCTCATGGCATCACCTGTGCCTGGAGCTGATGTCCCATCAGGGGCTGAGGTACCACGTGCCACACCAAGATCATCCCTGCTGGCATCCCCCGTGCCTGGAGCTGACATCCCATCAGAGTCCACCGTACAACACACCACACCAGCATCACCCAAACCCCGTGCTGATGTCCCACCAGAGGCTAAGGTGCCCCATGGCTCACCAGCATCACCTGCACCCGGAGCCGAGAGCCCATCACTGTGCCACCAGCCCAGTGACAAGGGGATGGGTGGGGATGTGACCTCCCTGGGCAGGGAGTGCAGCCCCCCACAGCCCACAGGCACCACGGAGAGCGGTGAGGGGGTGCAGACTGAGTTCTAGCCCCAGCCCCCCCACCATGGACTGGCCCTGGTGACACTGGGGTTGGGGTAGGGGGATGGAGAGCAGCACCACGGGAGAGGGAGGGGATGGGAACC